GGGACAGAGTGCTGGCTGAGGCGGTAGGGAAATGGGGGAGGAGAGTCTTGACCCAGATTCCCCGGCTTCTCCAGGAAAAGCCATTCTGTCCTCTTCCATCAAACACTTCTCCCAGGAGACTGCATTTCTTTCCATGTCTGAAGGTCTCATGAAAGAGGTGGGATGTGAGCTGGTTCCAGAAAGACAGACTGGGTGGGCACTGCCTAATACCTGAGTAAACAGAACGCTCAGCTGTGGCTGAAAGCAGCCAGTAAAGCAAGCAGGTGTGCACTTCTATTTTAGTTGGGCTCCCAGGTGACCATGAGGAGACACTGGCGACTGACAGGGGACGATATCTAGTCCAAGTGAGAAGGTGAGGGCTTGCCCTGGGCAGGGATGGAGGAGGGGGTCCAGGGTGAGCCACGTTTCAAGGGAAGACGGAGTCAAACGTGCTGGATGAGTCAATGAAGATTTCGAGCACCAGGTCTCTGGACTCCACTTTCTGCGTTACGATCTATGCCAACAGCGACTCGGCCACTGAACCAGGGGTCTCCTCGCCTGAAGCAAGGGCTGGAAGCAGGGCGTGCGGCCTCGGGGTGCGGGTCGGAAAGGTCAGGGCCAGCCTCGGTGAGGCGCAGCCCGCGGGTGCCGGCTAGCCTGCGTCCCCGCAGGTAGAAGACCACATCGGGGTCCCCGCTCCGAGACCCCGGGCTCGGAGGCGCGGCCGGTCCGCTCAGACCTTCACTGACAAACCGTTGCACGCCGTGGCCTCCGGTCGCCGGGACCTCTTGCCGCCGAGTCAACCACAAGGCCTAAGCCCAGAACAGGCCAGGTCCACGCGGGCCGGAGCGGATTCAGAGACGCTGCTGCAGCCAGGCCCGGAGCCACGCTCGGAGCCACGCTCCTTATGGATCCCCGCCAGGGCCGGGGAGGCGGGGCGGCCGCGCAAGCTCTACCAATCAACAGCCGGCGTTCGAATTCGCATCCTGGCGCGGCCAATCGAGAGCGTCCGAGCCCGAGTGGGGGGAGGGGGCGGGGCCCGGCCGAACAGTGGCGCGCGCCCCCCCCGGGCGGGCCAATGAGAGCGCCTGGTGCATTTGAAAACTCCGGCGGGCGGCGGGCGGGTCTGCGCCTGCGTGGGGAGTCGCGCTCTGGGCCGGCAGGCGGCACTGGCAGAGATAGCGGCGACTGCGGCGACGGCAGCCACGGTTATGGGGAGCGGAGGCGGTGAGCGCTGGGCGCGGGGCGCGGCGGGGCGGCCTCGAGACTGAGCAGGGCTGGCTCGAGCCCTTCGGCCCGGGGTGCGTGTCTTCCCGGCGGCGCCCGCCCGGCGCGTGGTTTAAATGCCCGGGAGCGCCCTGCTCCGCGTGAAAGCGGTGAAAGCGGCGCGCGGGGTCTGCCACCTGTCGAGGGCCGTGAGCGCCGCTCAGGTTTCCGTGGTTATTATCGTGGCTGTCCTAGAGCAAGGGGATGAGAAAAATGCGGTAAAACGCAGGTATCGGTCGCCCTGTGTGTACGCTTGGCTTTCGCAGCATGTTAATTGATGATGGGAAGACCCAGGTGAAGAGCGAGGGGAGGGGGGCAGGAAGAAGCCCTGAGGAGGGAGTCGTGCGGGTGCGAGAGCAGCCACCTCCTGTCGGGACTGGAGGAAGGAACGGGTGGGAAACCAGGTGAATTGTAGGTGATGGGCTCCTCCTGCCTCAAGCTTCTCTGTCGTCTGCTTAGAGTCAGCAAAGACTTGCTGAAGTTGAAGTTGGAAGGACCTCCTGTGGGGAGAGAGGACACTGAGACTGGCTGGGCAGCTCTGACATCCGCAGAGCTGGGACAGGCCTGGCCTCCAAGTCCACCTTTGGCTTCTCTGCAGGGTGGACCCTCCTAGTTTGGACTCGAAAACCAGACTGTTCAAGTCCACAGATCCTTATTAACATTACGCATTTTAGTCATGTGTGCAGATAGAAGCAAAGAGATCAGTAAGGGTCAAGGCGCCTCCCTGAGAGTGAAATGCAAGGCTAACCATCATCAGTGTTGGCTGCTTTTTCCCCCTTCCTGGTTGTCATCTGGGCTCTGGATCAGAAGGTTTCCCAATAGCCAGGTTACATGATTACTACTCACCATCAATGTTTACTGAATATTTGAATGAATAATGATGTCTTCTGTACCACTACTACTCCTTTATTTAATCTTTGTTTAGGACTGTAAATATGGCTGGGGCAGAGGACTGTAACTGTTAAATCATGTTCAGATGTAACTTTTCATATCAGCACAACTCGTTTCCAACACATCACTTAGACCATTCTGATTTTTTTTCTTAAGTGATCCACTGTAGGTGTGCCAAGTGTTTCTGTTATCCTACAAAGCGGAGAATAAGAAGGAGACCCCAAAACCTAACGATCTTGAGTCTCCCTGAAGATGTGCTCTTTCATATCCTGAAATGGCTTTCTGTTGGAGACATCCTCGCTGTCCGAGCTGTAAGTTGTCAGATAAAAATAGTGTCAGGCCTGGCATCATTGGTGATATTGTACCATGAAGGCTTCGTGTCTTAAATGTCAGAACAAAAACTTTGGCTACAAATGAGGGTAGAGGAAACAACGGTGATGTTGGTAATAGATGCCTGAGGTTGTTCTGATTGCCAGAAAGCTAAAACGTAGGACAGCAAGGTTTGAGTCTGCTCATTGTAATGTTTATTTTGACAGAGAAAATACCCTTTTATGGCAGTGAAATTTGCATCCCTCAAGAAATAAGATAGCATTAAGAAGAAAAATAGTATGTTCTTGAGGACAAAGCCCATGTAATATTCAGCACTGAAAGGGACTCTGGGAGTTATTTTGCAGATTTCGGAACTGAAGCCTCACTTTGAGTGATTTAACCAAGGGCATACAGCAAATTAGTGGGGGAACACCAGTAAGAACCCACTTCTCTGACTCCCAAACCTGCCTCCATTGCGTTCATAATATCCATAGGTGCTGAATTTCCAATGGCAGTGGAAGCTTTAGCACTTAAAATGCTCACCTGTGCTCAGGGCCCCCTGCCTGGGCACTTCCTGCTATCACCCAGGACAGAAGTCCTACCTGAGGCTGTGTCATGTGTTTCAGTCTTTTCTGAGAGCCCCCACTGACCTGCAGGCCCCAGCTTTGCTCCCACTAGCAAGACCCTAAGTAGAGGAGCTCAAAACAGATTTCTGACCTACCTGTTCCCATTAGAGTTGATTTCCCTGATCCTTGCAGGTATTATAGCATTATATCCCCTTTCTCAGCCTAGGTGCTTATTCCCCCTTCCAGGACCACTGTCCCCATCTTTAGAGCCTCAGAAAAAGTTGTTTCTGGGCTCTTTTCTCTATTCAAAGCAATTGTTAGTTACTTTGATACACAGAGGCTGGGCCTTTACTGCTAGGGTGGGGAGGGAAACAGGAGACCCTACATCTGTCTACACCCTGTCTTCAAGAGCTCCAGAAGCGGGGCTTCTGGGAGGTCCCTTGATTAACCACCACTCCCCCTCTTCCATTGTTCTTCAGGTGCACTCCCACCTGAAGTACCTGGTGGATAACCATGCCAGCGTGTGGGCATGTGCCAGCTTCCAGGAGCTGTGGCCTTCTCCAAAGAACCTGAAGCTCTTTGAAAGGTATCTCTGCACCCAGAGAAGAGCGTGGCTTTCTCCCACCTTTGGGCCTCCCTACTATGCCAGTCTGTGTCTCAAGGCCTGACCTGGGAATGATTTTCCTCTTGCTTGTTGCTCCCACCAACACCTTATCCCCCAGGGAGTGACTGAGGGCTGTCGACCTCACCCATCGAGTCACACAACTTCCAGCACATTCGTGGGTCATCCACACCACCAGCACAGGCCTGACTCTCATTAGTCACAGCAGTGCTTCTGAAGGGTCCACCTGAGCTGTGACCCATTGTGTGTGACTCAGATGCAGGTCACCTGCATGTGGAAACTTTCCTCAGCCCTCTTCTTTTGGTCAGAACAATGCAATTTGAATCCTATTACATTATACTCATTGGCTGATCCTACCTCCCTGGCTGGGGTTGGGACCTAGAGGAAGGGCCAGAGGGGCTGCAAGCTGCAGTGTGCCAGTGGTCACAGGCAGGCTGCCTGAGACATAGTCCACCAGCCACACAATGTACCCTTTTAAAGTGTACAACTCAATGGTTTTTAGTATGCTCACAGAGTTGCGCAATCATCAACACTATCTAACTTTAGGACATTCTCATGACCCCCAAATGAAGCCCCATAACCATTAGCAGTCACTCCCTATTTTCCCTGTAGTAACGCAGACCCTATGCAGCCACTAATCTGCTTTCTGTCTCTATGGATTTGCCCTTTCTGGACATTTCATATGAGTAGAATCATACAACATGTGGCCTTTTGTGTCTATCTTCTTTCACAAGTGTGTTTTCAAGGCTCACCCATGTTGTAGCATGTCATGGATAATTGATATTTAGCTGCATTGCCAAAAATATTTTCTGTTCAGAAAATAGGTACTGTAGTTTTAAGTGCTGTGGTGGAACATAACCTTTATGGAATAAAATCATGTGATGTTTCATGTTCTTAATGTTCTAGGGCTGCCGAAAAAGGGAATTTTGAAGCTGCTGTGAAGCTGGGCATAGCCTACCTCTACAATGAAGGCCGTAAGTCCTCGAGGGGCTTCCGGGGTTCAAAGCCAAGATGAGCCCTGTCTGTGAGGCTGTGTGGAGCCAGGAAGAGTGTCTGAGCGGGACAGGACCCCGGGTCTATTTGTTTCATGGCTCTGCTATTGGCGGCTCCCTCCCACTACTCACGCAGACCTCTCTACTTAGTGAGCCTTGTGATTCAGGAACCCCCTCTGCAGCAGTCTTGGGGGAGGTGGTGGCTCCTGGTGCTAGGTGCTCTGACAGCTGGGGCTGGCCTCACCTCACTTGGTACTGACGTTTTAGAACAAGCATGAGGGACTTCCCTGGTGGTCCAGTGGTTAAGACTCTGTGCTTCCACTGCAGGGGGCACAGGTTAGATCCCTGGTTGGAGAACTAAGATCCTGCATGCTGTGTGGTATAGCCAAAAACAAAAAACCTAATAGAACAAGCATGAGCTCTTGCCCGTGTCAGCAGTTTAGTCGCTGTTCTTGCTGTGTCTGGCTGTGTACCGTCCCCCCTGGGGAGCTTGTGCCAGAGGTATCCTGCTCAGGGACCCATGGATGAAGTTTGATTTTGTAGTTTGGGGGAGTTGCCTCTTTTTTTAAAGAACCATTAATTTCAGTTGACAACGAGTGACTCTGAGCAGAGACTCAGAATGTGGGCTACTCAGGCAAGCCAGCCCTCCCTGGCTGCCTAGTTAACACCACAGCCCATGCGTGGACCCCAGCTTCTCTCCTTGGCCACAGCTCATCTGAGGAACCTGGGGCAGTGGTCAAAGCATGCCTGATGCCAAGTGTCAGTAACACAGGGAGCCAAGGCTCCAAGTGGGAGGCAAGTACAAACAGGTCAAAGCCAGCCTGGTACCTAGATTCCTTCACCCCTAAGGGGCAGGTGCTCCTCGAAAGAACCTGGTGCGGCCCTCTCCCAATTCCTGCCTGTCTGCTGAGCACACTAAGGAGCGAGCCTGCAGTTCATCCTGTCCCAGCTCCCAAGATGCATAAAGACTTGGGTATAGTCGCCATTTTTCTGCTTCTAAAAGACCTGGCGTCTTACTGAGAGGTCACCCTGGTCACAGCTGGTTGACAGGACTGTTGGACCTGTAGACGATGAGCAGTCCTGCACCCACCCTCCTGTCAGATGGCTTTGCCCAGACGAAATTCACACACCACTCAGCTCACCTGTCTAGTGTGTACAGTCCAGTGGTTTCGGTATCTTCACAGAGTTGTGCAGCCATCACCACTCAATTTGTAGCCATTATCTCATTACCCCACAAAGAAACCCCCTACCCGTTAACAGAGGTCTGAGCAGCAGTTCCCCACAGGAAGGAGGGTGGGCATCTGATGCCTCCACGTCGGGGGGACCTTCCCAGATCTTCGGAATCCAGGCTGCTGGGAGGGGCCGCAGGGCACTTGGTTCATAAAACATGGGAAGAAAAGGGAGGAGCCCCCATCCCAGCTCTTCTGTCCTAAGACACCAGCAACTTCACGTTGTAGCGGCTTAAGGCTTTAAACTTTCCAAAAAGACTGGGGAACTTCCCACACCCCTCCTCCAGAGACATCCCGGGCTGTGTTCTGTCCGTCTCTTCAGTGTCTGTGTCTGATGAGGCCCGGGCAGAAGTGAACGGGCTGAAGGCCTCTCGCTTCTTCAGTCTCACGGAGCGCCTGAATGTGGGCGCCGCACCCTTCATCTGGCTCTTCATCCGCCCACCTTGGTCGGTGTCCGGAAGCTGCTGCAAGGCCGTGGTTCACGAGAGCCTCAGGATGGAGTGCCAGCTGCAGAAAGTGAGTCCTGGCAAGGGGTGCAAGTAGGGCAGGCCATGCTGGGTGGGCTGAGCCCTGTAGGGTCCCGGGAGGTGAGAAAACTTTGAGGGGAGATGCTGTGGACCATGTAAAGTCAGGGACCCGAGAGCAGTGGAGGCACAGAAAACAGTGCGGATGTGGGAGCATCTGCTAATGACTAGCAGGAGAGGAGGCCTCGGAGCCAGGGTCAGGGGAATCGGGTGAGGGGCTGGGCTGCAGACGGGTCGACTGCTGGAAAGGCAGGACTGAGGCTCTGTGAAGCAGTTGGCGGAAGCCTGGAATCAGGGAGCGGTCTTCTGCACAGAGGGACTGGGCAGGGAGCAAGGAGGACCCACACACGGAGGGACAGTCCCCGGAAAGTTCTGTCCGCTGACAGTCACCCCTCCTCCTCCACCTCCTTTCTCTAGACTCACAGAGCGTCCATACTGCACTGTTTGGGGAGAGTGCTGAGTCTTTTTGAGGTGAGTCCTCTCCACCATCCCACGGGGCCCTGCATTGTTTGGCGTCCTGGCCCGGGTGAGCACGCAGGGCACAGCGGGTCTGCATTTTTGTGCTGCTCGCCTTTCTGGCAGCTTCAAGCACCAAGAATCAGGAACTGCGTGAAAGGCAGCAGAAGGGGGCTTCCGGGGTTCAAAGCCAAGATGAGCCCTGTCTGTGAGGCATTATGAGTGTTGTCTTTTCATCTTGCTTATGGTTTCCTTTGCTGTGCAAAGGCGGTGAGAAAACTTTGAGGGGAGATGCTGTGGACCATGTAAAGTCAGGGACCCGAGAGCAGTGGAGGCACAGAAAACAGTGCGGATGTGGGAGCATCTGCTAATGACTAGCAGGAGAGGAGGCCTCGGAGCCAGGGTCAGGGGAATCGGGTGAGGGGCTGGGCTGCAGACGGGTCGACTGCTGGAAAGGCAGGACTGAGGCTCTGTGAAGCAGTTGGCGGAAGCCTGGAATCAGGGAGCGGTCTTCTGCACAGAGGGACTGGGCAGGGAGCAAGGAGGACCCACACACGGAGGGACAGTCCCCGGAAAGTTCTGTCCGCTGACAGTCACCCCTCCTCCTCCACCTCCTTTCTCTAGACTCACAGAGCGTCCATACTGCACTGTTTGGGGAGAGTGCTGAGTCTTTTTGAGGTGAGTCCTCTCCACCATCCCACGGGGCCCTGCATTGTTTGGCGTCCTGGCCCGGGTGAGCACGCAGGGCACAGCGGGTCTGCATTTTTGTGCTGCTCGCCTTTCTGGCAGCTTCAAGCACCAAGAATCAGGAACTGCGTGAAAGGCAGCAGAAGGGGGCTTCCGGGGTTCAAAGCCAAGATGAGCCCTGTCTGTGAGGCTGTGTGGAGCCAGGAAGAGTGTCTGAGCGGGACAGGACCCCGGGTCTATTTGTTTCATGGCTCTGCTACTGGCGGCTCCCTCCCACTACTCACGCAGACCTCTCTACTTAGTGAGCCTTGTGATTCAGGAACCCCCTCTGCAGCAGTCTTGGGGGAGGTGGTGGCTCCTGGTGCTAGGTGCTCTGACAGCAGCAGGGAGGGACACTTAGTATGAGCGAGGAGCTGGAAGACCTTGGGAAACCCTCCCCCATCACCGTCTGGGCAGTGCCCGGAGCCGAGTCCAGCACAGACCTCGTGCAGGAGGAAGCAGGGCCTGAGGGCAGAACTCGTGGGCTTGCCTTCACGAGTTGGTTGTCAAATCGTGTATCTTCAGAGAAGTTGTTTTTACTCTAATGTAGTTAACTCATTTTATTAAAGATGAGAACAGTATATGTGGTTACTTAGATGTACTTATTCTAGGATGAAGAGAAACAGAAGCAGGCCCGGGACCTGTTTGAAGAGTCTGCTAATCAGGGGTGTTTGACCAGCTCGTACCTCCTCTGGGAAAGTGACAGAAAGATGGATGTGAGTGGGCCTAGGTCTGGGGAAAGAATGGATTATGTTGGCCAAAGGCACAATCTCCAGAGTAGCCCTTGGACAAGGTTCTGCCACCACAGCCGGGGTCGCTGCTGGTCATGGGGCTGCTTTCAGCACTGCCCCTGAAACGACCACCACCATTTGGGGGATAAAGGGCTGGGAAGAAAGCACAGCTGGGGACCCTCTGGAGGTGTCAGGGGGAACATTTAAGAAGACTGTGGGTTGGTTCTGAGTTTCTCCAGAGATATGACCATGTAAGGGCATGGTGACTCTCCCATTGACAGATGTCAGATCCCGGACGATGCCTCCACAGCTTCCGGAAACTCAGGGACTTTGCTGCCAAAGGCTGCTGGGAAGCACAGGTGAGCTGGGAGCTGGCCTTTGTCCTGACACCTCCTCTCGTGGGGACGTGGGGGCAACACTGCCAGGTTCCCACCCAGGATGAAGTAAGAGTGGCCCAGGGTTTGGAACTGAGTCTAAGGGAGTTCAGCTCTAGGGTGTGCAGGGAGGAGAGCCCAGAAGCGCTTTCCTCATCTCTGCCCGTTGCATCTAAGACAGCCAACCACTTAATTTCTAAGTGCTGTGGACTACATCTGCATCAGAATTTATACAGCTCCCTAAAGTTGGCCTGTAGGGAATGCATCTTGGCTACAGAACTTAGAGCTCCTTAGAACAGATGGGTGTGTGGAATGCTGTCCTCTTCTCATTATCTGACCTGCTCACCAGGTTGTCCAGTGTTGGAACCAGGACATCAGGGGTCTGTAGTTGGCGTTCTTCAGACACTCTCCCTGTGCAGCTGTAAAGAAGTCATTATTTCAAGATAAATCAAAGAAAGTCCCCCTGTGCCAAGCTGGTAGACGCTTGCTCTTGTCACCCCACCAAGTTGGGGGTTGAGAGTCATCTGCTCTTAAAAGCTAGGGAAGAAATCACAAAGGGATGGCCCACCTGACACATCACAGGACGTTGTAATGTTTATGTTCAAAAAGGCACTTAACAAGTTTACAAGAAATACAACAATGAACAATGTGGTTCTAGTTCAAGCTCACACTAATCAATAAGAATAGTAAGGCCCTGTAGAAGTTCACAGAGCCTCAGTGTACTCAAAAAAGGAAATAAATACAAGCAGTCAAAATACGGAGCAGGTTTGACCTCTCTGCTAGTCAAAAAGGCACACGTTTAAAGAGATCGTGACTGATCACACTAGCAAATCATAAACACGTAGTCTTTGTATTTTTTTTTTTTTTTTTTTTTTTTTTTTT